GTACACTGTTTGGTTACAGTGTCACAGTTACGTCGCATCTTCACTAATTTTTCTATCACACAAAATAATCTAATTGTCTTATATAGGACTAACTATTCTTCTATACCAATAAACAAATAAGAACATAAGATGAAAGGATCACTGCAACAGGCCTATCGGTTCATGCTAGGCAGGTCCAAGTCACACTGCTGGAGGCCTACTGGCCCAAGCTAACAAGATCCACCTCACTTATACAAATAAAAACATTAAAGATCTATACCAAAAGCTAAGTAAAGGTCTATAAGAAGAATGCCAAAACAATACCAGGCAGCTGTCAAAACTATTAGCAATAACGCAGTCAAGTTTTCAGGGAAACCAGACAAGAAAAATCATGAAAAGCAATAACATTCTGTACCTGTATATCGATAGGAAATCAGCAGTAAAAAACGGAGATAATACCATCCCTCACTGGAACTGGTACAATGCGTCAGCTCGTATCGTAAAGTATGTACTGATGTGTCAGATCGCAAAGCAAATTACGATGATTAACGGGATTAATCGCTGTCACCATAGTTTTATTGTCAATATATTTACGGAGGAATGGTGGGGGTGTTCCAGCTCGGAAGGTCATCTGAACTATGTCGCAGGATATACGCGAAGGTGTATTTCCTGCGTCAGCTATGCCTGTATACCTTGTACATGTACTTGTAGAAATAAAGATATTATTATTATTATTATTATTATTATTATTATTTTATTATTATTATATTATTTTATTATTATTATAAGAGGAAATTTTAGAAAGGACTTAATTTTAAAAGAGTTCTTGCTAATTGACCAGTTTTACCTATTCGGCACGACGCACACACACACACACACACACACACACACACACACACACACACACACACACACACACACACACACACACACACACACACACATATATATATATATATATATATATATATATATATATATATATATATATATATATATATAATCAAAAAGAAGCACTAAACCTACAAGGGTCATACAGCGCCACCTGGCAGGGAAGGATGCAGGGGTATTGGGTAGCAAGAAGGAAAGGGATTATTATTAGGTGATGGAGTGCAGCGAGGCAGTGGATAGTACAGAGGTAGAGAGTAGCAAGAGATTGAGGTAGAAAGGGCTGTGAGGAGTACTAGAGGCATCATCAAGAGTTTGTGCAGTAAATCAGTTGCTGTCAAAAAGTCAACGAGAGAGTCTGGGTTAAAGGAGGATCCATCAGCAAGAAGGGAAGGTCAAGTAAGGGCAGTACAACATTGACGATGTTCGAGGTAAATTCTGCGTGCTCGTTGATACAGTGGACAGTCCAACAGAATATGGTTAACAGAAACTGAACCTGATCACTCTCACAGAGAGGAACAGGGCACCTCTCCATGAGATACCCGTGAGTAAGACGAGTGTAGCCGATGCGAAGATGGGAGAGAGTAGTCTCCCAACCTCGACATTGATGGTAAGAAGACGGCCAGAAACCTATACTCAGTTTAATAGAATGTAGTTTATTATAGAACAGATAAGACCAACGTTGTTGCTTGTGGAGGTTACTACTCCAAACGGGGATTAGAATGAAATTAGCTCTGAGGCACCTACACCCCATATGTCCTTGGATCAAGGTAAAACACCTAGCTCTGCTGGGTGCTTGATTGTTGTAGGTTTGTGTGGTCCAGTAGGTTAGAGCGTCATGTGATTTTCGCTCACTACGTGGTAGGGGAAAACGATATGGTGCAGTATTGTTATTGATTCAAAACCACCCGTTCGTGGTCACAAATATATATATATATATAATATATATATATATATATATATATATATATATATATTATATATAATATATATATATATATATATATAATGCAAAACAACCACTGTGAAAGAATAGAGAAATTCCAAGCGATTTCGTGACTACTCACATTATCAAGGAACAATGAAAGTAAAGCATCAAAGGAAGGTATATAAAGGGTCTAGCCCACACCTCACTATCAGATCCCACAACAAAGAAACACCTGACGCACGACTCATAAGAAAGGGAACACTGCAGCAGGCCTGCCGGCCCAACTAGACAGGTCCATCACACAACCCACCAACAAACTATTCTACCCAAGAAATAAGAATTTAAAAAATTATTATTTGTCCAATGTATTATTAAATTCTTCCCAACTTCTATTAATTATAAATGGATCTAATTTATATAAACCAAAGTAAATATTCATATTATTGTCAAAACTGCTTTTTATGAAACAAGATTCAATTATATTCCTGTCGACCATGGACTTGCTTGATACTACTTTCTCAGCTTTTTGAAAATCAATTGGATGGTTAAAATCTCTCACATGAATAAATAGAGCATTGAAATCTTGTCCAGTTCTAATGCTATATTTATGTTGTTTTAATCTTAGTTCGAGATTTTTACCAGTTTGACCGTAATAAACTTTATCGCAAATTTTACAAGGAATCTTATAGACACATCCATCAGTATTTTGGGGGGAATTCTTTATCAAAAGTTTTTTTTACTGTGTCAAAATTTTTGAATACAACTTTAATAATAAAAGTCTTAAGAACTGAAGGCATATCAACCAAGTTTTCATGGTAAGGGAGAGCCAACATATTTTTAGTTGAATAAGGCTGGTTGTCCCTTTTTGGATTGTAAAAAGTATTTCTAGCAACTTTAAAAGTTTATCAATTACGTTTCTTGGGTATTTCAAATCATTACCTATTTCATAAATTTTGGATATTTCCTCATCTATGAACTCAGGACTACAAATTCGTAAAGCTCTCAAAAACATTGATGAGAAAACAGACAGTTTGACTCTATCTTGATGCGAAGAATAATAGTGGACATAGGAACAGTTATTTGTAGGTTTTCTGTAAATTTTAAATTTGAATTTATTATTACCCTTAATAATCAAAACATCTAGAAAAGGCAATGAGTTATTTTCTTCAAACTCAACAGTAAAGTTTATAGAATGGGCTAAACTATTTAATTTGCCAAGGAAATGGTGTATATCTACATTTTTGGGCATAAGACACAAAATATCATCAACATATCTCAACTATTTAGCTCTATTAGGGAGGATTGTGTTAAGCAACCTTGTTTCAAAAAATTCCATGTATAGATTACTAAGAACAGGTGAAAGAGGATTTCCCATTGCCATACCAAACTTCTGAGTGTAAAACTTATCATTAAATACAAATTTTGCATCAACAATGCAAAGTTTAATAAGTTTAATGATAGTAGGAACTGGCAATGGGAAATCATAGTTAACGAGTTCTTCAGATAAGAAACTTAATAAATCATCAACAGGAACTTTCGTAAACAAGGAAGTAACATCAAAACTAACCATGTTAAAATTATTTAAGTCAGTCAAGGAGCTTAATTTATCTTAGTAACTTATACATGGAATTTTTTGAAACAAGGTTGCTTAACACAATCCTCCCTAATAGAGCTAAATAGTTGAGATATGTTGATGATATTTTGTGTCTTATGCCCAAAAATGTAGATATACACCATTTCCTTGGCAAATTAAATAGTTTAGCCCATTCTATAAACTTTACTGTTGAGTTTGAAGAAAATAACTCATTGCCTTTTCTAGATGTTTTAATTATTAAGGGTAATAATAAATTCAAATTTAAAATTTACAGAAAACCTACAAATAACTGTTCCTATGTACACTATTATTCGTCGCATCAAGATAGAGTTAAACTGTCTGTTTTCTCATCAATGTTTCTGAGAGCTTTACGAATTTGTAGTCCTGAGTTCATAGATGAGGAAACATCCAAAATTTATGAAATAGGTAATGATTTGAAATACCCAAGAAACATAATTGATAAATCTTTTAAAGTTACTAGAAATACTTTTTACAATCCAAAAAGGGACAACCAGACTTATTCAACTAAAAATATGTTGGCTCTCCCTTACCATGAAAACTTGGTTGATATGCCTTCAGTTCTTAAGACTTTTATTATTAAAGTTGTATTCAAAAATCTTGAAACAGTAAAAAAACTTTTGATAAAGAATTCCCCCCAAAATGCTGATGGATGTGTCTATAAGATTCCTTGTAAAATTTGCGATAAAGTTTATTACGGTCAAACTGGTAAAAATCTCGAACTAAGATTAAAACAACATAAATATAGCATTAGAACTGGACAAGATTCCAATGCTCTATTTATTCATGTGAGAGATTTTAACCATCCAATTGATTTTCAAAAAGCTGAGAAAGTAGTATCAAGCAAGTCCATGGTCGACAGGAATATGATTGAATCTTGTTTCATAAGAAGCAGTTTGGACAATAATATGAATATTTCCTTAGGTTTATATCAATTAGATCCATTTATAATTAATAGAAGTTGGGAAGAATTTAATAATACATTGGACAAATAATAATTTTTTAAATTCTTATTTCTTGGGTAGAATAGTTTGTTGGTGGGTTGTGTGAAGAACCTGTCTAGTTGGGCCGGCGGGCCTGCTGCAGTGTTCCATTTCTTATGAGTCGCGCGTTAGGTGTTTCTTTGTTGTGGGATCTGATAGTGAGGTGTGGGCTAGACCCTTTATATACCTTCCTTTGATGCTTTACTTTCATTGTTCCTTGATAATGTGAGTAGTCACGAAATCGCTTGGAATTTCTCTATTCTTTCACAGTGGTTGTTTTGCATATTCTGAAATCATCTGTTTACTGTGATCTTATTGCATATATTTATATATATATATATATTATATATATATATATATATATAATATATATATATATATATATATATATATATATATATATATATATATATATATATATATATATATTTCATCCTGTGTAAAGTTGTTCAGGATTTTGGGGGTTGATGGTATAAATTTATTATTTATATTATTATTATTGCTGTTATTATTATTATTATTATTATTATTATTATTATTATTATTATTATTAATATTATTATTATTATTATTATTACAATTATTCTCATTATTCATTCCACGTGAGAAGTGGGCTGTGGAGAGCAGCGGTGCCTTGCTGACTGGACGATCTAGGACTACCAGCCTACCTGTGACCTGCCTGTGACTTGCTTGTGATCGCTGATTGGAAGATCTAGCCGTACCAGCCTACCTGTGACCTGCCCGTGATCGTTGGTTGGAAGCAATGGATCTACCAATCCTACCTGTGATTGCTGGTTGCAAGCAATAGGCCTACCAGCCTATCTGTAATCGCTGGTTGGAAGCAATAGGCCTACCACCACCATGTGCAACCAGCCGAGCCGTGAGTATTTATTATAATTTGTTATTAATATTGCATCTTTATTAATATTAAAATACCCTTACGTGTCTTTGTGATTTTTATGTCCTTCCCTTTATTGTACAGTCTTGGAGACGGTCTTTATTAGTGCTCTTTATCATGACATAACTTTACTGGGGAGTAAAGTGAAGGCACATTACAGAATAAAGCTGAAGTGGGCCAATGTTTTGATGCGTTAAGATCTCCATCGTAAGGAAATTATATTGATTTTAACACATTGAAGCTTGGTCCTAACAGAAGCCTGTTGTGGAACGTGCGTTTCTTCTTCACTTCTGTCGAGAGAACGTAAGGTCGGTTCAGGAACGAGAGAACGTAAGGCCGGTTCAGGAACGAGAGAGCGTAAGGCCGGTTCAGGAACGAGAGAGCGTAAGGCCGGTTCAGGAACGAGAGAACGTAAGGCCGGTTCAGGAACGAGAGAGCGTAAGGCCGGTTCAGGAACGAGAGAACGTAAGGTCGGTTCAGGAACGAGAGAGCGTAAGGCCGGTTCAGGAACGAGAGAATGTAAGGCCGGTTCAGGAACGAGAGAACGTAAGGCCGGTCCATGAGCTATTCATAGCTTACAGTGTCAACCGCATATGAACCCCTATTAAATTGAATGAGACCAAATTTACCGTAAAAGAAGAGAACTTGCACTGGAGTCTTTGTCAGGAGTCCGTCGTAATACGCCTCAGCTATGTAGCTGTTTATCTGGAGTTTATCTGGAGAGAGTTCCGGGGGTCAACGCCCCCGCGGCCCGGTCTGTGACCAGGCCTCCTTAGGTCAGTGTCCTAGGATGCGACCACACACCAGTCGACTAACACCCAAGTACCCATTTTACTGATGGGGAACATAGACAACAGGTTGAAAGAAACACGTCCAATGTTTCTACTCTGGCTGGAATCGAACCCAGGCCCTCGCCGTGTGAAGCGAGAGCGTTAACCACCAGGCGGAAACAGTTATAGCGTCTCTATAGTTCTGGCTAATATAATCTGACACTACACTGCCCTGTAAGATGAGCTTGACCTTTCTGCATTTAACCTTACTTTTGGGAGAGGTGTTGAATTCAACGAATTTGATGCAGCGTTGGAGTTGTCTTGGTCACTCTTCGCCGATGACGTGGTGTTTTAAGAGACTCCGAGGAGAAGCTGAAAAAAAATGTGGATAAATTTGGGATGGTAAGAGCTCTGTATTGGACTGACGACGCTTTTGTTAAAGGAAACATCCCATAAATCAAAATTCCTTATTCGTTCCTCATGCGTTCTTTTTTAAATACATTTGTTTTTACGAGTTACCTTGCGTGATGTGCATTTGTCTGACATAGCTTAGGATTATGGAGACCTTGTGTAGAACTTTCCTTCATCGTCTCAAGGCAAAAATGCATTTTCTTAACAGAATGTCTACCTTGATCTTCTCTTAGCTAAGCAGCCTTAGGAACGAGCGCACCTCCTTAACAGAATGCCTACTCTGCGCATCTTGGGAACAAACGCACCTTCATGACGGAAGGTCTACAGGAGACGGTTATACGTAGATCCACACCACAACTTTTCGACTCTGATTATCCCTTCTCATCCATCCTGGTCCCTTATCCCAAATAACAGAACGTATGGGGCTCGAACTCACTACAAGTGAGTCCTGAAACTCTCAGGCCAGTGTGCGAGTCTTGGGACTCACTTGCCATGGGTGTGAGTCCCATCTGTTCTGTGATATGTTTGTAATCGTGTTATTGTTATTCACTTCAGTAATGCTTCAAGGATCGTTTCATCAACTCCAAAGGAGCATTCTTCGTGGCGCACGCAATATGCGCTTCTGTTCCCTACTCATGCGATAGTACAGCCGCACATGTACTTAGCACCATCAACCTTCATCAAAGAATTAGGCTCAACCGTAAATTAAGCAACGTACACGCATCTAATAAGTGGAGCGCTACTTAATATAATATTTCGCATTGTAAATACCATATTTCGGTCTATATTCAGTAACGTAGAAGCCTTATTTCACTGCGCTTCTGACCTAGATGCCTTGACGACAGGCCGCGCACGAGACTTGGAAGGTGGCCCAGCCCTGGCCAGAGTAACTTGCATCTACCCTGAAAGTTTTCCACCTGGCACCGACCTCACTCTTAAGTGTGTAAAATAGCTCCCTGTTTTTTTTGTACCTTGTGTGGAGTCAGTTCACTCCGGATCAATAGCTGCTTGATTCTTCCTCTGTTAGTAATCTTGATGTTGTACATAAAGAAAAGAATACTTGACATCACACCAGCACTGATTCTTGAGGGGACCCCACTAGTGACATCACACCAGCATTGGGGTGATGTCACAATTCCTGACACTGCCGTTTAACTCGCCGCTCGTGAGCCCTCTTAAACTTATTCGATAAAAAAAGAAAAAGAAAAGGAGGACTAAGAAGAAGAAGAAGAAGAAGAAGAAGAAGAAGAAGAAGAAGAAGAAGAAGAAGAAGAAGAAGAAGAAGAAGAAGAAGATTATGCACTGTCAGCTATACTTTACGTGTCACTCAGGTGCTGACAAGATTGGAACACAAGACCATACAATAGCATGTCATCAGCGTAGCTAAGATTTTCTCTAAGAGCTTCTTCGAGACAACATGCTTTTCCTAACTCAGGACAGCACATAATTATCGGCATATCATATACATGTAAGCACAGCATAAGCCTCTCAGAGCACCTCACTTCAGTGTCAATCACATCGTGTTGATATAACGCAGAAATAACACTGTTGTGACATTCTAAAGAATGCCACTGATTATGCCAAGAATTTTTGGCAGAATTAAACTGGCATTTACCTACTACCTAATGCCAGTATAACACAGGTATCTGGATAAGAACTATAACTCGTAATTTGAGTTCTTTGGGACAGCTCGACATGAACAATTTATGTACGTAGTTTTGGTCACAATGTTTAGGTAGCAATTGAATAAACTACAACATACGGTTGATACAGCAAATGCCTGTGATTGATACACGTTAAATATTTGCTGCAATAAGATCACGCTAAACAGGTGATGTCACAATATGCAAAACAACCACTGTGAAAAATAGTGAACTTCCAGGCGCTTTCGTGATTTCTCACATTATCAAGGACCTGTGCGGTTCCTTGACAATGTGAGAAATCACGAAAGCCATTAGAGGTTCACTATTTTTTCACAGTAGTTGTTCTGCACCTTAAATATTTTATCGAGATCAAAAGATTTGTTCCTTGACAATGTTTTTGACGCTAAAGAGAGATAAAGAATTTTCGTTGTTCTTCAGGTATATTTTTTTCCAAATTTTTGGGTCCTTTGTGTAGCATGAAGTGTTTGTCCTGGCTGGGTCGTACACGTGGATTATCAGTGATATTTATTTCTAGTCTTATGTTTATGTGATTGTTGCAGCTTGTAACGAGTTATTTGTGTTGAGTGTTCTGTTTATGCAACACGCACAGTAGTGTGTGTGTGTACTCATCTATATGTGGTTGCAGGGGTCGAATCATAGCTCCTGGCCCAGCCTCTTCACTGATCTATACTAATCCACTCTCTCCCTGCTCCATGAGCTCTATCATACCTCTTCTTAAAGCTATGTATGGAACTTTCTTCTACTACTTCACTCTCCAGATTATTCCAGTTCTTGACGACTCTAAGGCTAAAGAAATATTTCCTAACATCCCTCTGACTCATCTGGGTTTTCAGCTTCCAACTGTGTCCCCTTGTTCCTGTATCCCATCTCTGAAATATTCGAGCCCTGTCCACCTTGTCAATTCCTCTCAGTATTTTATACGTAGTTATCATGTCCCCCTTATCCCTCCTATCCTCTAGTATCATCAGATTGAGTTCCCTTAACCTCTCCTCATAAGACATTCCCCTCAGTTCCAGGACTAATCGTGTTGCAAATTTTTGCACTTTCTCCAATTACGTGACTTGTTTGACTAGGTGAGGGTTCCATACTGGTGCTGCATACTGCAGTATAGGTCTGACGTACACGGTGTACAATGTCGTGAATAACTCCTTATTCAGATGTCTAAATGCCAATCTCAGGTTTGCCAATCTCCCATATGCTGCAGCAGTTATTTGATTGATGTGTGCCTCAGGGGGCATGTTCGTTACAATGCTTACCCCAAGATCCTTTTCTTTAAGTGACGTTTGCAGCTTTTGATTTCCTAACCTGTGGTCTTCTGTGTCCTTCCCCAGTCTTCATGACCCTACACTTACTAGGGTTAAACTCCAGGAGGTATTTGTAGGACTAGACTTGTAGTCTGTCCAGATCCCCTTGTAATCTTAACTCATCCTCGCCGACTTGTATTCTCCTCATCAGTTTCACGTCATCAGCGAACAGTGACACTTCTGAATCTATTCCTTCCACTATGTAATTCACGTATACAAGAAACAGCACCGGACCTAGGACTGACCCTTGTGGAACCTCACTCGACACGTGCACCCATTCTGACACTTCATCATGTACCAACACTCGCTGTTTCCTCCCTGTTAGGTATTCCCTGATCCATTGCAGTACTTTTCCTATTATTCCTGCCTGCTCCTCTAAATTTTGCTCCAGTCTCTTGTGTGGTACCGTGTCAAAAGCCTTCTTGCACTCCAAAAAGATGTGTGTGTGTGTGTACTCACCTATTTGTACTCACCTATTTGTGGTTGCAGGGTTCGAGTCCTAGCTCCTGGCCACGCCTCTTCACCGGTTGCTACTGGGTTCTCTCTCTCCCCGCTCCATGAGCTTTATCATACCTCGTCTTAAAACTATGTATGGTTCCTGCCTCCACTACATCACTTTCTAGGCAATTCCACTGCCTGACAACTCAATGACTGAAGAAATACTTCCTAATATCTCTCTGACTCATCTGTGTCTTCAACTTCCAATTGTGACCTCTTGTTTCTGTGTCCCCTCCCTGGAACATCCTGTCTTTGTCCACCTTGTCTATTCCGCGCAGTATTTTATATGTCGTTATCATGTCTCCCCTGACCCTCCTGTCCTCTAGTGTGTGTGT